AGAAGGGAGGAGGGGAGCGGAGGGGAGGGGAGAGGAGAGGAGAGGAGAGGAGAGGAGGACTGAGAGGGGGACCAGGAGAGGAAGGGAGGGGAGGGAGAGGAGAGGAGAGGAGAGAAGAGGAGAGGAGAGGGGAGGAGAGGAGAGGAGAAGGGAGAGGAAAGGAGGACTGAGAGGGGGACCAGGAGAGGAAGGGAGGGGAGGGAGAGGAGAGGACAGGAGAGAAGAGGAGAGGAGAGGGGAGGGGAGAGGAGGACTGAGAGGGGGACCAGGAGAGGAAGGGAGGGGAGGGAGAGGAGAGGACAGGAGAGAAGAGGAGAGGAGAGGGGAGGAGAGGGGAGGGGAGGGGAAGAGAGGAGAGGAGAGGCGAGGTGAGTGCTTGGCACTTAGTGGCATTTATTATTTATTCAAAGAAATTTCTGTGTATTCACACTATTAATTTTATGATACAGAACCATTACACACGATAAGCTATGTTAAATATCAGCTTTATGTATTTTGTAGCACTTCATAGTATCACAGATAATGTTCCTTTTTTCCCTTCCCTGGACATTACCACTTTCTTTTCCTTTTTTTTTTTCTATTAAATTTTAATGTTTTTTTCTTTTGTTGTTGTTTTTTGAGACAGAACCTCACTCTGTTTCCCTGGGTAGAGCGCCATGGCATCAGCCCAGCTCACAGCAACCTCAAAGTCCTGAGCTTAAGTGACCCTCCAGCCTCAGCCTTCTGAGTAGCCAGGACTACAGGCACCCACCACAACAGTTGGCCAATTTTTCTATTTTTAGTAGAGACAGGGTCTCACTGTTGGTCAGGCTGGTCTCGAACTCCTGAGCTCAAGCCATCTTCCCATCTTGGCCTCTCAGAGTGCTAGGATTACAGGCATGAGCCACCGTGCCGGCTGACATTACTAATTTCTATCATGAGGATTGATTCAATTAAATGATTTAAGGAGGTTCTTTTATTTGAAAAAAAAATCTCTCAAAGATTTAGAATAAAAGTTAAAGCAAGAATATTAGAACAGTGCCAGGAAGAAGAATACCATGTATGTGATAGGAGCTCGGGACCATCTGTACGATGGATGCATGAACAAAGAGAACAAATAAACAGACAAAATATATGATTGATGAGCTAATGCAACTGTTTTTTAGAGTCTGAAATTTAACAATATCTTCCTCAAATAGACTTAATTAGCGATAACTGCACCTCAGATAAACCTCATTGGCTAAGATGCTGCCACTGCACAAAGCTTAACGAAACTTAAAACAGAGAATGGTGGAGGTGGTGGTGGCTTTGGTAATTGGGGACCAAGTGCAAGTAACATAGAATCACCATGATAATTCAGAGGCTCTCCAGATTCTCCTCTGTCATTCAGTTGTCAGTCTCCATCCATTTTTTTGAGGAACATTGGTGTTATAGCAGCAGCATCTAATAAGAAACCGGGGTGGCACCTGTAGCACAGTGGTTATGGCACCGACCACATGCACCGAGGGTGGTGGGTTCAAACCTGGCCCGGGCCAGCTAACCATAAATGACAACTGCAACAAAAAATAGCCAGGTGTTGTGGTGGGTGCCTGTAGTCTCAGCTACTTGGGAGGCTGAGGCAAGAGAATCACTTGAGCCCAAGCGCTTGAGATTGCTATGAGCTGTGATGCAATAGCACTCTACCTAGGGCCACATAGTGATTCTCTGTTTCAAAAATAAAAATACAAATTAAAAAAAAAATAAGAAGAAGAAACTTGATCCTTTACAGAAACTCTTCGTGGACAAGATTAGAAAATGCAGATCTAAGTGACAGGCATCTGGGGGACCTGTTGATGCTGGGCCAGCCTATCAGCCAGACCTGGATAGGGAGCTTTTTTTTTTAGAGACAGAGTCTCACTTTATTGCCCTCGGTAGAGTGCTATGGCGTCATAGCTCATAGCAACCTCCAGCTCTTGGGCTTAGGTGATTCTCTTGCCTCAGCCTCTTGAGTAGCTGAGACCACAGGCGCCTGCCACAATGCCCAGCTATTTTTTGTTGCAGTTTGGCTGGGCTGGGTTTGAACCCACCACCCTCAGCATATGGGTCCGGTGACCTACTCACTGAGTCACAAATGCCACCCGATAGGGAGCTTTTTAAGCTTAAGCAAATGTATGGTAAAGCAGACATGAATACGTTCCCTAACTTCAAATCTGAAGATCCCAAATTTGAAGCCATTGAGAAACCCCAGGCCTGAAGAAATAAAGTAAAATTAATGTGTCAATTTGTCATGGATTAGTCGTACAACTATAGAAATTTTAGAATAGACACACATTTTATACCTCTCAAGTGTTCTTTTAATTCTGATTCTAAACAAATTATTAGGTGATGTTGAGTGTAAAAAAAAAAGAAAAGAAAAAAGCCCCTTAAAACACAGGCTATAGATAATAAAATAAACACCCTATCTGTATAGCCTTGAGAAAAAAGTTACCTGCAGTTACACACAAGGGTTTTATAAACACAAAATGGTATTCATAATTGCTATCTTAGATTTCTTTTCGAATTCCTCTCACACACTTGGAGATTGGAAGGACCTTCCTGGCCAATTTATCACCTCTCAGTCTCCTCATTTCATAGATGGGTAAACAGAGGCCCAGAAAGTTTGCCTACTTTGTCTAAACACACACAGTTCAAAATGACAGAGCTAGGATTGGAACCTGGGCTTTTTGGCTTTTAATCCGGTGTTTTTCTTAGTGCACTATAGCCTCCAGTTGTTCCGGGCCCCGAAACCCTGAAGTTGCTACCTCAGCTCAATAGAGAGCCAACCCTCCTAGGTTTCTGATTCTAGCACAGAGAGAACGTGATGGTTCAGAAGATGAGAGAAATCAGAACCTGCCAGATCAGCATCTCTCATGAGCCTGGAAGTGGTGAAGTGAAAATCCTCTGGTCTCAATGGTAACAGACAAATCAAACAGATCCCTGAGGCAACGGGCAACAGGACAGGAATTGGTGCCTATGAAACATGCCAGAGCAGCTTTTATTAAGTAGGCCTTTATTTAGCTCAGTTACAGGTTTAGGGCAGCTGTAAGTACGAGGCACCCTCAGTCAAATTTTAGTTCTCTTATGCCAAAAGACACTGACCACAACTGGATTGAAATTAATTCACTTTACATATTTTTTCTTGCCCATCTCTCCTTCTGTCCCTCCTCCTATCAGCTTCACCCATTTCTAGAGTCAAAACTTTCCCCATATTAAAATACTGGCATAGAATAATGATCTAAGATTTCTTTTATACTCCAGTCAAATCCTCTTCTCATAAGTTCCAAAGGTACACAGGGACTGTTTAAAGACAGTGTCTTGGAATCACAAAGGGTCTACTGTGCCGAAACTCTATATGGAAATTAACACATCCCCCGACCCCCATTTGTCACCAAAGGGAGGGGAGACAGCAAAGAGAAGAGGAATTCCCTAAACCGAAATACAGCAACTTTAGTATGACACAATTTATCTTTTCTTTTTGAGATAGGGTCTTGCTCTGTCACCCAGCTAGAGTGCAGTGGCGTCATCATACCTCACCACAACCTCAAACTCCCCAGCTTGAGCCATCTTCCTGCCTCAGCCTCCCAAGTCGCTGGGGCTACATGCATCTACCACAATGCCCGGTTAATTTTTCTATTTTTAGTAGAAATGGGGTCTTGCTTTTGCTCAGGCTGGTCTCAAACTCCTAGTCTCAAGCAATCCACCTGCCTTGGCCTTCCAAAGTGTTAGGATTATAGGCATAAGCCACTACTCAGGGCCTGACACAATTTATTCTTTTTTTTTTTTTTTGCAGTTTTTTTTTTTTTTTTTGGCCAGGGCTGGGTTTGAACCCGCCACCTCCGGCATATGGGGCCGGCGCCCTACTCCTTTGAGCCACAGGTGCTGCCCACAATTTATTCTTAATGTGATTAAAAGTATGTAAAAACCTTTCAGCTAATCAAATAAAATAAATAATGAGAAATACCAACTTCAGTAATTTTTAAATTTATGAGTTCTTTCAATATATCTCTATAATTCACATAGAATGGGAGGTTGTAAAAACATTATGTAGACAAGAATAAAATTTAGGTAGATAACCAGGCAGGCATTTAATGTCTGTAAAAATCCATGGAAAAGAATAAGCACAAAAGGACTAAAGTAAGAAATTAGCAGCAAGCAGCTTTGGAAAAAGAGACTGACAGGTTTCTAAAATATTATTGGTGTTGAGGGAGTCTATTTTTGTGTGATAACTATTTCTGTTCAGTATCTCCAGCCTTCAATTTACAGCAGAACTGATACATTCAATTTCAGCTGTCTACTTCACAAATACAAATCTATTTTAAATATCACGGTCACATTTACGTAAACATCTGGGAGAGTTCAGCAAAATATCTCTGCCATTTGGAAGTCCCAACACTTTAATGAACATAATTATTTCTTAGCCATCTTGTTCGGCTGTATTTTTTGACAACGTGAAAACCAATGGCATAAAAATGAACTCCAGTAAGACAAATGATGAAATCAAACCTTGTTATTTAAATCTCTGTTTGCCCAACCACGTTCCCTGAAAGCCAATTTTCAATCAAACTCAAGAAAATATGGCAATATGTTTTAGAGCGTGAAAAAAAGTTTGAGCATGCTAACGAACCAACTTGTAAAATATAATTACAAAAGATTACACAAATGCTATCTCGAACATCTTACTGGTGTAAATTGCATAAACTCTCGCACGCAACATATGTCATTCAAAGTAAAGAGGAAGGAACAGCATTTTTAACATCATATCCATTTTGGAAAGAGGATACCAAATACTCCCATCTTCTGTTATGACCCTTTAATTAATATCTCTATTATATTCCATTTGCTAGAGCTATCAAAATGAACCACAAAGAATAAAAGTGGACCATGGAAAACCAATTACTTTCACAAAGGTTAAGCTGGGAAGGGCCTGTGTAGCAAGCCTCCTCCTGCATTATCTCATTCAGACTATCTGCTAACAACAGCAGGAAAAACGTTTGTATTCTTACCAATGAATTTCTGAGGCATTGAGCTTTTCCGTTTTGCCACATTGCTTGCTAATCGGTCCAGAACGAGAGCTCTTTCACTTCCCATCTCTGCTTTGATGTGTCTTGCCTCCGCACTTGCTGGTTTGGAAAAATATAAAAAGAAGAGGGAAAAGAAGACATTGGTAAATGGGGAGAAAAGGAAATAAAACTGGAAGGAGAAGTGTCCGAAGTCTGATGCACACTCTGCTGTTGTTACCTGTTGTTACGGCTCAGATTCTTGCCTGGGGTACCTGCTGTGGTCAGTGAAGCCGATGCCAGGGCACATTCAAATCTTGCAGTCTTATGCTGAGATGGGAAAGCTCGACCCATCCCCAACCAGTGCCTTCATTAGCAAGAGGAAGTATTAACTAAACAGCCTGGACGTGGTTGGTTGCAAAAAGATAGATGGAGATCTTCTAACCCCCATCAGCCTTGTTTCTGATTCTGAGTAACTGCGTGTGACACCTGCAGACTGATATAATTCTTCTTAACAACTTTG